CTACACAAACAATTTCGCGTCCACATACATTCACGTCCGGTAATATCCAGAGTCATCATACAGTCCTAAAGGCGAACAGGTTCATATCCTCTTACACACACAACAGGTACCAGCCAGCATCCGGTCCTATAACAGACAAGTTCGAATCCTTCCAAGCACCCAACCGGTACTCGCTAGATACCAACGACTGGCCCTTACCACGGACCATGTTCCCCCTGCATTTACCAAGTTCCCGACCAGCCTGTTAAAATCGGTAGCCACTCCCCCCACAGGCCTCGATACTTATTCGAGAAACTGATCAACGCGTTGTCAAAATAATCATCCGGGTACCTCTTCTTCCAAAGCTCCATTTTTTAAGAAAACAGAAAGGCGAACTCTCTACCCTTAAGGGTGGAGAAGGTACGAGCGCGATGTAAAAAAAAAACAATAACTGTCATTTTCTGCAGCCTGCTGGAAAAAGAAGCAAAGTGTTGGATACTTTGAAAAGTCACCCTTTCCTCATCCCAAGTTTGCTGATTCTTATGAGTCGCAATGCACCCCAACCCGACTCTACCTTTCAAGATTTTCACCACACAACCAAGAAAATCCGAACTATTCCCATCACTTGTCTTCTCCAATTGTAAGTTAGAGTCATAACAACTTCGAAAACGGTTAATTAACTGTTCCGCCTGGATAATTGAAGACGCTGATCCTTCCATGCAGATCGCAAAAACTGACACGTCATCCATCAGTCGAAAACCTTCAAAGAATTTTCTCTGATACCCTAAAGATGACAAAAAACAGTACTCATTATAGGCGCACAATAAACACGCCAACGCCGGACTGGAAGGTTTACCCATCGGTATCTCGACCATTTGCTGTAAGATCATGCCACCTGCTGTTATATAAGTGTTCTTCAGCTCGTACCTAACAAATTTCAGAATTTGTTGGAAGGACACCATACCCCAACCATCCTCTCCAGATCCACGTACAAGTTTCGCCCCTTTTCCTCGTTTCCTTACCGCAACCGGTTGAAAGCCTTCACAAACCCAATAATCGATCACCCATTCAAGAGCATGGAAGATAGAAGAATGAGGGAGATTAGAAAACATATCTTTAACATCAAATGAGGCTCCGATCACAAAGTTTCCCTGTTTCATTCTCTTATTAATAGCCTCAATTTCCTTCACTAGGTTCATTGTCCTCCTTAGATTGAAGTGGAAGCTTGAAGGTAACTGCCAAAGTAATTGATTAACTGCTCTCGATACCTTCCTCCCTCCACAGACGGCGTTCTCGGAGAAAGAAGGACATATCGGCCTCCACTTTTCGACATCCTTATGCTTCGGGATACAATATGCACGTCCCAACTTTCCATCCGTATTCCACTTGGCAACACGATGCAAATTCACTCCATAGTACTCAGACTTGCATCTAGAAATAATTTCAGACTCAGATTCATCACAAGTAGAGAAGGCAGGATTATTCCTGAAGAGCTTACTCATCCCCGTCAAGTAAATAGTCCGGCAGCACACGTAGGTGTCGCCAACATTATGGTCAATGGGACTACATACCAACCCACCAAAGACAGACTTCAAAAGATCAAAGTTGTCATTGTACAGTCTTGGAGCTTAGATAAATATTCGAAGGAGTGAGGATTAGACGGAGAAAAAAAAATGACAAACGAAGAGTCGGCAGACGTATATTCACAGGAATTGAGACAAAAGGTCAACTCTTCGAGACAGAGAGAATGAGAGGGAGGAGGGGGAAGAGACCGCAGAGAGGCAAAAGAAGAGAAGATTTGTTTCCTCAGATTACGTACGTTGTTATTGCGAGAGGGTTTCAGAATATTCTTAGAATTATGCAACCAGAAGGGAAAGAACGTGCTCTCATTCATCCGAAAAGAAACATGCTCGTCCACCCGCGGTAATCGAGGCTCCACATCACTGCAACTACACACTGCCGTAGATTCTTTCCAATAGCTTCTGTAATTATGTAGACAATTCCCTATAGTCCGATTCCGGCACCAAACAATCCTCATACGTCTCACAAGCAAATCTTTCCAGGCACTAGGAATGTCCAAACGCCCAATCAACACTATCGTTGTTTGCCGGACACGTGCTTTGTTCTATAACGGGTCATAAATCAATCGGATAACCAAACGTTGTCGGACATGTACATTAAAGCATGAAATAATCGTCCTTGACAAAATGCAACGAAGCCTAAATCGAGTGCGTTTCTCATGAAAGATTCGGACAACAGAAAATGCAAAAATTAATTTATCAAAAGTCCAACTATAAAGCTCCTTACGAGATCCAGGCTGACTAAGTAATTTGGCCAGGGGTTGTTTGTAGACCAAAGACCTCCGCATAAAAGGTACAATATTCTCAAAAACAAGCATGACCCTGTTGGATAACCACTCCCGACATTTCCTCAACTGCCTGGTCCCAAACCCGCATGAGACTATAAATGCCCCAAACAGACGTTTAACAAGATCCCACTTATCAACAAACCCATTTCCACCTTTGCAAACGATGACGCAGCTGTCAATTCCTCGACCTTTGCACGTATTCAAACTTGAAAGTAAACTGAAGGAAACCACACCGATGCTTGACTGAAACTCCAACATAGAGAAACGTTTCTGTCCATCCACGTCGTCTTGGTGCCGACACCGTTTCTTCTTCTCTTTCAAACGTTCACGAASTCCCTTTCTACAGCGTTTCGATCTACAAGCCCTGTCCCGAACATTCAAAGATGACCCACTCGATGGAATGAAAAACTTCTCAACACTCAACAAATCTTCACTGGTGCATTCATAAATTGGAATCGCTACATACCGATTTACTCCACACCTTCTCAGCCAACAATAAAGCTTCTCACTACGGTCACCCTTGCTAATTAGGGAGGGATTGCACACTCTGTACACGTGCTCATTCCATCGTGTGTGCACCTCTCTAGTCGTACTACCAACGTAAGTATGCCTACACCAGGGAGAAATCAACACATAGACCAGAGGGTCATCGCAACGATCAAAATCATACCCACGCGAAAGAAGGGAGGAGAAACACCCGACAAACTTATTCGCCCAAGGAATTTGACCAGTCAACGTCAAACCAATAACTGCCAAGCATAGCAACGAATTCAGATAACGACATCTTAATCGCTCCACAGACAATCCACGAATATTCGAACAGTGCCTGACCATCTTCCAAAAGTAAGCCACGTCAGGAACGAACCCTAAGAGGTGTTGTCCTCTCCCCCATCAAACTTACCCAAGTCTGCACTCTGGCCTTCGGATGCACCGATGAGATCTTCAAACACAACACCCTCCCGATTGCCAGGTGGCGCTTTGTCACATGCCCTTCGAGTTCGTAGCTGCACGATCTCTTCTTTGGCTTTTTCCAAGGTAGTATATGTGATTCCTTCATTCTCACAGATGGCGACCACAACATCCCTCTTCAGTGGCTTCAGTTCTTTTCTGCAATCCTTTAGAAAGACCTCCCGATCGTTGGTCAAAACGGCCGCCTTCTTCCCTCTGTCCACACAGCCATCAACACCTTCCGTAGCCGCTTCGAGACGTTGCCTTAAGTCTGTTGCAGCATGTCTCCGCTGCTTGGTACTAGCTACCTTCTGCTTCCCGAYAGATTCCATTTGCACCCGACTCAATGCCTCCTTCAGTTTCTCAATCTCTCGATCTTTCTCTTCTCTGACTCTCTCTGCCTCCTGCTCTGCTTCTCGTCTCCTGTTGAATTCTCTGATTCTCATATCCTTCAAAATGTTTACCTTCTCCAAATGTCTGGCGACCAAATCACTATAATCCTCAGCAACTTTCTTCTTCGTGCACAGCGGGGTGATTGCTGGAGCACACCTCGGTCGAGAGTGAAGTTGGGGGCTAGGTGTAGCCCCAATGGCAATGCTTCCACGTTTATTGCCAGAACGTCGTGCCTCCGCTTTCCAGCCCTCTGCTTCACTTACTGCTTCCTCCGTCACACGCTTCAGTGTCAGAACCTGTTGCTCCAAGGCAGCGATGCGCCGTTCATTAGCCTCCTGCGCCTGCCTTTTTGCTTCATCGAACTCCTGCTGCAACCTAACCGAGCTCTCAGGCGCACATATCTTCGCCGTAGCATGCTGGTCCGCAACTATCTTCATCTTCTTTAAATTCTCAACTTCCTCTCTCAATTTCTCCATCTCGCAATTCTCATTCTTTTTCATAATCCTAACTCCATCAATTCCCTCAAGCCTCGAACTGATCAATTCTCCAATCGCCTTAAAGTGCTCCTCCCGTTCCTTTCTGTCGTGCTGCCTCCGCAATTCTTCCTCCTTTTCTCCTTTAGCTAACTTTTCTTCTTCGTTCTTTCTCTTCTTTCACTCTTCGTCGATATCATATCGGACCTTCAACTTGGCCACCGTCTCTTCAAGAGACTCAATACGCTTGGTGTTGCTCGGTCCTGCCCATCCCCCTCGGTTGTACTGGGTATTCGAAAAAACATTACTATTATTACTGTTACTCGGAARWGTTAGAAGAGGTTGGGTCTGCACAGGAACGATCGCCGTGCTCGGATTAGACACGGAGTGACGTGGAGGGTGGGGGCAGAATCTCTGAATATGGCCTGTCTGGCCACAATTATAGCAGTTACGAACATAATTCTTGGTAGCCATATCGATATACTGTTATACCACAGCAAGCACTCGAAGGCACTCAGAAGTAGTATGACCTCTACCCCGGTTACTTCGTGGAAAAAAGTTGTCCTAAGACACTTCAAAGTATATAGCAGTAATCGTTAGCGCACCAGACAAAAATGACGCTCAAGTATGACTCCGAGAAGAAGGAAGAAAAAAAAGAAGAGGAAGAAGAAGGAAAGAACAGAAGCAGAAGAAGAAATAGACACCCGGATGATAGTCGAAAAAATCCCGAACGTGACTTCGTTCCGCAAAGA